TTCTTGTCATTATATTTTAAAAATATTTTAAAAATTTATTCATGTATATGAGTGCTCTATTTGCGTGTATGCTTGCATGACAGAAAACAGCATTAGATCTCAGATGGTTGTGAGCTACCAGATGGTTGCTGAGAATTGAACTCAAGACCTCTGGAAGAGCAACCAGTGCTCTTAAACACTGAGCCATCTCTCCAGCCCATTGTCATTTTATCTTAAGCATTCTTTGCATATTTTGGATCAGAGCCTCTTCATCACATTAGGTGTTTTGCAAATATTTTCCTCCCAGTCTATGGCTTATATTTTTCCCTCTTAATAGAGTGTGTGTATGCCTTAAGGAGGAAGGATTCTGCATGTGTAGTTTTACAGTAACAATAAAAGGAAAATTCACTGTGAATCTTTTGTGAGTTGTCCCAGAGGATAGGAGGGAAGTGTAGACCCATCAGAGGTTCATTAAAAGGGCAGAGTTAGGTCCTAGGGATGGTGACAGCTATCCTGATTTATTTGAACTTGTGTAGCAGGGCTGAGAGCTAGAGAGATGCTCAGCTCTGGACTGTATTAATTCTCAATTGAAAGAAGGGACTGGAGAGATGGCTCAGCACTTAGGAGCACTGGCTGCTCTTCCAGAGGACCCAGATTCAACTTCTAGCATCCTGGTGGCTCACAACCATCTTTTAAAACTCCAGTTCCAGGGGATCCTACACTGTCTTCTGTCTTCTGCAGTCACTGCATACATGGTGCTCAGACACACACTCAGAGAAAACACTCAACATACATAGAAAAAAAAATCTTAAAAAAAAAAACAGTCCAGGAATTATGTTCAGAAACACATTTCATTGACCTTGAATGAGTGATATTCTGTACAGGGTTTAAACTGTTCAGGCATATAAGCACACACAAATACTTCCCTCCCTTATGCAGTGTGTGAGTGTGTGTGTGTGTGTTTGCAGGGGGTAGGGGTGGGTACTGGGATTGAACCCAGTGTTTTACAGATTCTGTGCAAATATTTCATTAGTATACTATACTCTCAACTTTATTGTCACTTTTTGCTTTGAGATGGTCTCCCTATGTCACCCATGCTGGTCTTGAACTCATTCTTTAGCCCAGGCAGACTTGTTATCTTCCTGTCTCCAAAGTATAGGAAGCATAGTTCCTATGTTTCTTTTAAATCAGTGTAATTGTACCACTAAACTAGCATTCTAGCCTGTCTTAGGTAGGGTTTTACTGCTGTGAACAGACTCCATGACCAAGGCAACTCGTATAAGGACAATTTTTAATTGGGGCTGGCTTATAGGTTCAAAGGTTTAGTCTATTATCATCAAGGCAGGAGTATCGAAGCATCCAGGGAGGCATGGTGCAGGAGGAACTGGGAGTTCTAAATCTTGTTCTGAAGGTAAACAGGAGAAGACTGACTTGTAGGCAGCTAGGAAGAGGGTATCCAAGCCCATGCCCACATTGACACACCTACTCCGATGAAGCTACATTTGCTAATAGTGCCACTCCCTGGGCCAAGCATATACAGACTATCACATGCCCCTGGGACAACAGATTCCATTCTGCTGGTCACCCAAGGGATTCCTGCCCTTGTTTCAAAATCTGAGAAGTTTAGCTGGTGTCTGACAAAAGGCCTTGCATCCTTGCTTGTGCTGGTTGCTATGGGGATATGAGAACTGCACTAGTAGAGCCCACCCTTGTCTGAGGAGTCTGGCAGCTCCCTACCTTCTTACATACTGAGGGTAGGAATAGCTGTAGAGACTGCAAGCCTGAGCTGAAGCTAGTGCCTCTCTAGGTGTGAGTCATCCAGCCCTTAGAAAATCACTACCTTGGGAACACAAAGGGAAGGGTGCTTGAGTGTCCACTGCTCCTATGACCCACACGTGTCTTCCTTGTCTCCTCTTTCCCTTGCAGTTCAAAGGGAGGAAAGATTCTCGAGATGCAGGGGCACTTACAAGAATCACCTATACTATGGGTGTTCATCTCTCATGTCATGTCCCCTTGTCCCAGCACACATCTCTGTATCAAGAGTACTCAGAAAACAAACACTGACAAACACTGCAGTAAGTAATTCCGCTATAGGTATTTATGGGAGCCTCTTTGTTCTGTATTGGAACCATGTCTACTGCCATCAAGAATCCTTTTAGACTATTCTCCATCACAGGCTACAGAGCCGCTTAGCAAACATGTGGCTATAACGGGAAAATGAACCTAGACATTTGTTTGGGTGTTCTAAGTGTCTTTGGGTTTCTGGCTCTGTCATGCAGAATATAGGTCTCAAGTAAGTTCCCCTAGAGGTCACCACTTGGGTGTGGCTTCAGGAAGGCATGCTCCCCTGTGCATGCCCGATGCTATCTCTACTTCCTCTACCTCCCCTGTTTTCATTGTAGCTTTGGCCTGAGTTGAGAACATCCGGGAGTGAGTGGGCAGAAAGCAGCTTCCCAAGGTTCCAGTAACTTCCTCCTTGCCAAGTGCAAGGAACCTATCATTTCACTCTGCCTATCAGTATTGAGCACAGCTAACCACCATCTCTGTGGCACCCTGTTTGCCCTCACCTCTGATGACATGGATGAGAGTCAGAGAGGACTTTTGATTGCCTGAGAGCAGATGGGAGTCAGAGAGGACTTTTGATTGACTGAGAGCTGGCCCTAAACACCGACACAGAGTCGAGAGTAGAGAGGAGGCAGAGACTTAACCCAATGTGTTAAAAGAAAATCATATGACGCCCACTCCCTGCCACGGTTTTAAGATGACATGAGCGTTGACTCTAGGTGATGTTGATTCTACACTGCTGAATTCACCCTGTTAGAATGTGTGTCACTCACTGTGGGAGAGGGTGCTTGTTGGAAAGAGGCTGCTGATTAGGGTCGTAAAGACCATAACCAGTGGGGAGTGATTCTGGTAACTGGCTGAGAGGCAAAACTGCTGAGTGGTTTTGTATCTGCTTTTGGCTAATCTAAAATAGTCCGATAATATATTCTGGTGATTCTAGGAAGTAGGACAAGGATGAGTATCTAAATGGTACTTATGAGTCCATCCAGGGCTGAGGAACGGTGGACTTGGGAGTATTCTCAAAATGACATATACATCTAGCTCTCTTAACAGGTGTTATGTTTTCTAGTATGACAGGTGCTGGTCTAGCATGTGCAAGGCCCTGGAGTTGATCCCTGAAGGGAAGTTTGATAGCAGCATATTAAATGTAACTTACTTTGTATTTTAATATATATATTTTAAAGATTTATTTTATCTGTGTGTGTATGTGAATGCATGCACATCTGTGTATCTGTATGTTTGTGCCTGTGTATCTGTGTCTATGTATCTAGATAAAGGCCAGAAGGAAATGTCAGATCCTTTGGAGTTGGAGTTGCAAGCATTTGTGGGCTGCTCGACATGAGTGCTGGGGTCCAAACTCCAGTTCTCCAACAGAACACTAAATGCCCTTGACCACTGAGCCTTCTCTCTAGCCTCCCTTGTGTATTTTGACTGTTGAGTTCATGGGAAAAAAGAATACTTAAAAACTAAATGACATATTAAAAATTCCCCTATACTATGATAACTGCGTGTTTTTTTTATATGCTCCAACAACAACAAACCACTATGGACCTTTTAAAATAAATTTAAAAAGTACATTTGTAAAATCCAGAGGGCAGCTCATCCAGTAAAGGATGTTCCTAAAATAACCATGCAGAGTCACTAGTGGGGAAGTGATGACCCACGACCCAGCAGGACCCCATGGATTTGAGCAGCCCTGGACCAACCGTAGGTAACTAGCTTTTCAGATCTGTCTGGGAAGAACCACCATGAGCTCTGTTCACAGAATGAGGACCTTTGTGGAAAGGTCAAAGGATTGGAAAATACTCAGAAGGAAATGGGAGAGCAATAATGAAGACTAATTAAAATCGTGGTATATCAGGTGAATTACTGAAAGTGTTACCATCAAACTCTCCTTCGGTTTTCATGGCCATGCAGCAAGGATTTCTATCATGCATTGCATCCCATAGCCCAGAAGTCAGATGCCAGGATATCCAATGATTTGTCCAGAGTCCAGCAGTCAAGCCAGGCTTCGATGGGGGGACCACCAGGGGACCACCCACCCCAAACTACACTCCTCCCCTGCAATGTGTCTGCCAACCAGAAGATAACAAACAACCTGAATAGTTTCTGCAGCCCTTCAAGGGGCCAGAGCTAGAAAGCTCTAAGAAAGCTGGTATGGCATGTTCTATGGGGCTGTCTCTGTCCTGAGTTCACCTCACAAATGTATAAATGCCCCATCCGACCCAGCTGGCTAGAGAGTCAGAGCCCGGCAGGAAAAGGATCCAAGTACCCGAGGAAGAGTCATATACTCAGATGTGTAAACTCTATGGAAGACCCAGATCTGGCTTTCAGAGAGCACACTTTGCACTCACACGACCTCACACTTCTGCGTGTGACTTCCCTCCTAGCTCAGAGGAATCCCTCCCCTCTTGCTCAGGCATAGTGGACAGAAGTAATAGAAACATTCTAGAGTTAGACAGTTAGGATTAGGTGAGCGCTATCTGTAGTGCGAACTGGCTTCTAGAAGGATCTGTGGAAAGGTCCTTCATGGAGGACTCCTCTGCTTTCTGGTTGGGAGTGCACAGAGCGTAATTGTTAGCCACAGACTTCACAGATTTTACTCCTGGGACTCTTGGTGCATGGGGATGTGTCTGTTGTGCTTGTGGAAGGGGCTGTCTTTGGGGTTTTCCTCAGGGCTTTACACTTGCTGGCTGACCAAGGGCACACTTTTAGTCATTCTTGTCAGTGGAAATGCCCACCTACCAGCAGAAGTTATCTGGAACCAAGCACGACACAAGCCCTGTCTGTGGTGTCAGTCTCTCTAGTCAGTTCCCCTTTCTGTATCTGAGTTCTTCTCTCGTGCTCAGATTATTTCTCTCTGTATAAGGACGCCTAGGAGGGCTGTGGAGCAGACGAGGCTCCTTTTACCTTTCTTCTTTTTCTTTTTTTTTTACCTTCTACTTTTTTTCTTCAAGTTCCTGTGATCTTCGGGAATGCTACTGTGTTTGTGTGTGTGGTCCCTGAGCGCTGCGGTGGAGAGGCACTGGTGACATGTATGTCGTCAAGACATGTGCAACCTGGTGAGCATGGGAAATAGGAGCCGCAGCTGGGACAGATGTGCAGAGGTGGGCAGTCAGCTGGAGAGGGAGCGGGGAGAGGGCAGAGGGTACATGCTTAAACCTTTTGCTGATCACCACTTGAGTTTCTAAGTGTCCACATCAGATGTGGGGCATTACAGAAATGAGTCTCCTTTATCCAGATATGTGCTGTAATGCAGCCAAGAGACAGGTCAGGCAGGAAATAGAAGCTGTCACTTACCAAATAGTTGGTAGCTGCTCTTGGTTTTGGGGTGCTGGGAGTTCTCAGCAGTTCTGTTACAGAAAAAGTTTTCAGTGGACACTGGCAATCCCATTGCTCCTATACCGGGGCCATGTCGAAGAGGAACCTTCCCACAGTTCTCTCTGTAGTGGCCTCTGATTGCCTGTGTGACTTTCCTATGCCAGGCCCAGAAATTCTTTGTCTTCTTCCTTCATATCAAACTGCCTTATCTCAATATTACAATTAACTCATTTGGGGGAAAAATGCTCTTAGGTCAAAACGGAGTCCAGGCAGTGGTTTGATGTGTTCCTCAGGCTGTGTACACATTTGCATTTGCAAATAGGCTTAAAATATTGCTTCCATTAATAGCAATGTAAGCTTCTGGAGAGAGAGGTGAAAGACAACTTTTGGCCAAGGGAACTTCCCACTCCTCAAATTATAATAATTAAGGAGTTGGCCTGTTCTCCTTAGATGGAATTTTCATCTCAGGACTAAAATGAGTCCATGCTCAGATCTGGTGGCTTTGTATTACTGCTGCTGTACGCACTATGGGTGTGACTCAATAGGACTTAAGTAAAATCTGCATGAAATATCAGCTTATGTATGCATTTAGTATATGTTTGCTGGCTTCTTAATATGCCCTAGGGACAAAGGAGTATCAAAGGCATGCAGGGAAATTACATTCCTGCAGCTTCTAATGGGGAAGGTAATGTTAATCACAGGGACAGGACCCTTAGGTAGGGAGGAAATGGTTCTGTGTGACTACTGACTGAAACCGTGTCTACTGATTCTCACCCCTGGGTGGAGAGGAGGAGCTTATTGTATGAATTTGACATGGATGGGGACAGGGCAAAATCGTGAAAGGTAAACTATTAAAATACACTGGACTCATCAATAGAAGAATCAAAAGTTCTGAGGCCATCCAGTTCCAAAATGAGGTGGAAGTGGGAGTTGAGGGGAAGGATCTCTGGGGCAGAATTTTAACTGAAAACACACAGGAGTATGAAAAATGTCTGACACAGGCCTGCAGGAGAGGGAGGCTCCCAGGAAGATTTCAACAACTCTGAAAGGTGATGGGCAAGTGTTGGCCAATCACCTTTCAGGGCCAGGCAGAGTATCTGGGGAAGAGGGAAGGATAGGACTACAGCTCGGGCACACAGCCTTTCAGCAGACAGGTGATCTCTCCACTCTCTTGTAAAAAGTTGTTTCTGAATGGCATGTTGGGTACTTTTAGAATGAGGCTGGGAAAGAGATGCCATTTTCAACACAAGAAGAGGAAGACATAGTGCGCTTTGAGTGCATCGTATCTCCCTGCCAAGGTCTCAAGTCACTCCAAGTGTCCCTTCCACTCCTTATCTGTCACACCATGCAATTCCCTTCTGAGTTTCATGTTCCATTTAGATAAATTAACGTGAATATAATTCCTGAGAGCTAAAAGCAGATTTGTTTTTTTCTCTTCCACTAAGCACTTGCATCTTATGGGGGCTTTCAAAAACTGCCTTGGTCCAAGGAATGATTAATAGGGAATCCCAAAACTGAACTACACTGGAGAATATCATGGTGCACAGTAAAGAGAGAAGGGGCTGTCCCATAGATTATGCCCTGACAACATTGGTTTTTCTATGTGACCATGGTTTGAGTTCTGAGACAAAGAGAAAGGGGGCTCCCCTGGGCAGTTGCCTTTGGGTAAATATTCCTCGTATTCCTGGCAGGTAGAGCTCGTGAGTGGCAGGGCAGAGACCTAGGGAGATACCTGTGTCACAGGTTCACCTTTGGGTACTTTTTGGTAAAAAGGGAAAACTGGCTTTGCAAAACCATTAATACTTTAAAAGGGGGAATAGTCTTCAACTCAAAGAAGACTGATTGTAGATATAGCTAAGAGAACCGAGTGTCAGTCTTACCCAAATTTACTATTAGGTGACAGGAAAAGCTAAATGATGTTGCCCTGTTACTCCTGGGTCAGGGAGGGGGAGTAACCTGCACTTCAGTAGTTTAGCTATGTCAGAGGGAGTGAAAGCATCCTTTTGCTATCTGTGAACTAATGTTCCTAGTGTGTGGGCATGTTCCCAAACGACTGCAGAAAACAACAACTAAAGAACAGAAAACAAAAGGTAGGCAAGAGAAGAGGCTGAAGGAGGTTTGCTCCAAGGGGATACGAGAGTCTCACAGATGACTTGGCCTAGGGTAGGAGACACGACTGGGGGTAGGGTGGGGCAAGAGGAAACAGACCTCAGACTGAGTGACAGTTGGCCTTAGCCAAATGTCTTCATCTCCAGTGTCCTCTAGACACCAGGAAGACTTTGAGTCTCCGTGAGCACTCTGTGTACTTAGCCTCTACCAAAGGCCCCACTTCTCCTCTGGTTTCCTTCCCTCCTCATTTGGGTCCCTGAGCCTTTTAATATTGGGCTCATGGGTTACCAGTCATCCTGATAGCGTGCTCACTCTTGCCAGGCCACAGATGGGCTATTATCTTGCACTTTTATGCATTGGTTTTTGTGGTTGTTGTTTGCTTGTCTTTTCCTTTCCAAGACATTAATCCCAAACTTCCAGTTTATTGAACCAGATGAGAATTCCTTATCTGACTTTCCAGCCTTTATAAGCTCTCCTGTACTATTTACAGAAACAAATGTCCCATTATTTATCTAGTCTTTCCCCTAGTCCAGTCAGCTAAACAAACAAACAAACAAACAAATACAACAACAAAATACTTGCTATGAAGGATTTGGTCACCTCTTCATTTCCAAATGTCCCTAAAGGTTACTCTAAGGGCTGAAAGGATTAATTGTGGGGCTCAGGGATTAAGAGCACTGTCTGCTCTTCTAGAGTATCCTAGTTCCATTCCCAGCAACAACATGCTGCCTGTAACTACGTTTTTTGGGTACTCTGATGCCCTCTTCTGGCTTTTGAGAGTGCTGCATACATGTGTTGCACAGACTTCTGTCAGATAAAACACCTATATAGAAAACAATAAATATTAAAAAATATTCTAAAGTGATTCTATTTGTTTGTATCTCAGAACCTTATGAAAGCAATGTAGCATTAAACATAAATGTTTCCAAGATGAAGAAATTACAAAGATTTGAGGTGACAGTTACACTACCTACCAGGATCTTATCATTACTTTTGTATAAGTGTATTTTTTTTCTTGGTTTTACAAGACAGGGTTTCTCTGTGTAGCCCTGGCTGTCCTGGAACTCATTCTGTAGACCAGGCTGGCCTTGAACTTGGAAATCCACCTGCCTCTGCCTCCCAAGTGCTGGGTGGGATTAAAGGCGTGCGCCACCACTACCCGGCTGTATAAATGTTTTAAAATATCACATTGTATTTACAATGTACACATATGTATAATCATTATATATCAATTAATAATGAGAGATTGAGCTGAAGGGGTCCCTCCCTGAAAGTGTCCCTCCCTGAAGGTGTCTCCCCGGAAGGTGTCCCTCCCTGAAGCGGTCCCTCCCTGTTAGCTTGCTGTATAAGCCCTAGGGTCCGTCCTCAGCATGGTGGAAATTTGAGAGCCATTTGAGAAAAAAAATTCTCAAAGAATATTATACCAATAAAAAAAAAATACATTGATCATTGAACTCAGGATTACGCGCGTGTGTGTGTGTGTGTGTGTGTGTGTGTGTGTATGTGTGTGTGCATCAAGACTGTAATTGTAATGTTTAGTTGTGTGGAGTCATCAGCATTTAAAAGTGGCTTGCTGACAGAGCTTCTTTGACTTACGTTAGGCAGATGTATAGGGTGTCTAGCATAGGACTGTTCATAGAATGTCTTGGAGGAAAGATTTATTGGAAGCTTGCAAAGCCTTTCACAAACAAAGCAGGTGCCAGCTACATCAAGTTCCTGGAAATTAATAGTTGTTGATGGTAAATGAGGAGATCTACTCTCAGAGGAGAATTCTTGAACAGTGCTGTAGCTCAGCCTGAAACCTTCATGGGCAAAAGTCTCAGAATGAGTGACTGGAGTCAACACTACGTATGGAGGGTTTCATCTGCCCTAATAGAGATTGACTCCAGCAGCCACTCAGTTGTCTGGCTCTGAGACCAGCCACTATCCTGGTCCAGTTCTAAAACCACCACTGTCTCTCATTGGGGGTGGGGGGTGGGGTTGGGGGGAGGAGCTACAAGTAGTAGTGTTTGCTCTTGCTCATGTCTCCTGGAAGATCACTGGTAGTCAGCTCATGGTCTCTCTGTAGTTGGAGACATCCTCAGAGGACACCATACTGCCCACTGTGTTAAACTAAAAGAAAAAGGCTCAGGTGGGACAGAGGGAGATGGGATGCCGGGAGCAATCTTTTATTTTTGCTTTTCCCAGAAATGTGATGAGATGCTTGGTTGTGGGATTTTAAAGTTACAGAGCTCAACCACACAGCAATTCAGGAATCCCCTTAAAATGTCTATTCTGTACCGTCAGCCTGTGCTTTACGTGAGCTGTTCTGCTGATGGGGTGCACATACCTCAGAAGAAAGTCCAGACTCTGATTGTGGCTGCTTGCCCTTGGCTATCAGAGATCTGCAGCCCTCTCTCCTTCAGGTTCGTTTACCTGGGTCTTTTCATTGTTCCTCATTTGAGATTTTCCCAGCATCCTCTAGTAAACCCTGCTGCCCTTTCCCTTGATAGGATTCACTTCTGTCACTGTCATCAAGTACGACCCTCACCTTGCTGTACAAGATGCCACAGTGATGTGGTGTGATTATCACAGATGATGGTGGACAGATTCGAGTTAAGACAGAATTAATGTGGCTTGGGGTGTGGCTCAG